TTAGCATTTATCATCTACAAATAATTACTTTATACAAATCTGTTTATTTTTATATTTTTATCTGCATGCTTTTTGATTTAACAGTAATGTAACCACAATCTTTTTTTAAAACAAGCTGTATAGTTTTTTTATATTTTTGTTTTTAAATAAAAATAAATAAAGTGTTTGGTTTGCTACAGAAAATGTACCTTTTGTATAATGGAATTGCAGTTTTAAGAAGTCATTTCAAAATGGAAAGAATATTTTTACCAAGTGTATAATTGTATACTATTATATTGAGTATTTCACCTTCCTCAGTGAAAGTGTGGGGAAGTAACTAATTAATAATTGGAAAAACTTGTGAGAGTGGGGAAGATACCCTAGAACCTTCCAGAGAGGAAAGCTATTTGATAGAATAAGTTAATTGTAAGCAGAGGCTTCACTTACTGGAAACTGGGCTCTGATCTTAGTGTTTCTACTCTGAAAAGTGACTTTGTGAGAATGGCATCGTGGAATCCCATATTTATTGTGTCTTGAGGATTTCTGTGTCAGATGTGCTGTGTGCACAAGTAGAAATTTTTTTCTAACTACCAGCCTTGAAATCTCAACCTGGGCTCTAAGAGCCAAAGCTTAGTTGAAATGCAGTATGAAGAGAACCATCATAATGGTTCTGTGAACCAGATTTAGTTCATGCGGAGCCCTTGGTGCCTTTCATGGACTTCCATAAGTGTAACACTGATTTGGAACTTAATAAGAAATTTTGTAGATACACAAGATGGAATAGAATCAGCAGCTCAGTCAGTCTTGGCTGTGTTGGCTCTGCAGGGTTAATAAGAATAAAAAGCAGCAAAATTTTATCTCTAAAATAGCTGATGTGACTATTCAGAGTAAAACTGAAAAGTGATTTTCTGGGCCACGTTTTATAACTTTGTCTTTTGTTTGCCCGTTCTTGCATTTCTGGAGACCTCCTGGTTAGTTAAATGGCCAGAAGCTTAGTGTACTGTGGCTGGCTGGAGTGGAGCTGTGTCCATAGCTTCTTTAGTCCCACGGAATCACACCCGTGAGTCTAATATTAAACAGAACTGCTGATCCAAACAAACCAGGAGATGCACAACCGTTTGCTCAGAGCAATATAAAGTGAATGGGGCTTCTTGTCAATCCAGACCAAACCATTTTCTCTTACCTATGTGCAGAGCATGGTCCAGTATCTTGGCTAAACATGTGATAGTTTGTCAATAATTCAGTTTAAACTAAAGACAATATCATTACAAGAAATATGCACACCAGTAAGCAAACGTGCCGCTTCTGAGGAGCTTGGTTAGAAGCTAGCCATCACACCTCTGAGGAATATAGGAGTGAGAGCAAACACCTGTACAAAGAAGCAACTAGGTCAGAGTGACACCACTTGGTACCTTTTTAACTGCTTTTCAGGGTTGATACTTGCACACAGCCTTATAACATGTCTGATAGTCCCTCTTTTTCACACCTTTACTATTGCAAAACACATACATGTTGATCAGCTGCATGGAAACCATGAAGCTAGGGGGTCTCTGACATAAAGTACAAATGAGAAATGTTATATATTAAACATGGCATTTTTGGCTGACTCCTGAAACTGGGGACTGTCTATGTATAATCTCCCATTTCCAGTCCCATTCACATAGGAGTGACACTGGCTTAATTGCCTTTTCGCTGATAATGTTTACTAGTGCAACTTCCTTGTGTACTTATGCAGCGAATCTGCAACTTGTCGAGAGGAATTCTCTCAAATCCCATTGATTTGCAAAGATCAAATATTTCATAGTTTTCCTTGTCTCTTCCCCTCAAGTGGTGGTGTCCTTTTACAAAACTCCTCCTTTCCTGGAACCCCCCACATTTGTTTGTATCCCATCCTTTGATTTCTTCCCATTGGTATTTTTTCTTCTGATTAAATGGAACATGACAGAAATATTGGTTCCTTCAGTAACTTTTTTTTTCCAGCCACACAGCTTATTCAGTTTCCTCCTAGTTTGGTATGCATGGTAGGAAGTTTCTTGTGATGCAGACAAGGTAAAAGTGGATCAGCAAGTAGAATGTTTATAGCAAAGTGAATCAGGTTCTGTTTGCTATATATATTACACTTGCATCAGATAAGAATGTGGCAGTTACAGGCTCCAAAGCACATTTGCAAACCCCTCACATAGTGTATGGCTCACAGTAAAGCAGACCAGTCTCTTAGATACTTAACTGTTACAGAGACTGACATCTGTCATTTTGACAACTTTTCTGTAAATTTGATTTTAGTTTACTGATTAGTATGGGGCTTCTATTTTCTGCCCTCAGTCATAGAGTAGGAACTCAGAAAAGACCTCAGTGAATAGTTGTAAAACATGATTTTCCTGAAGACCTACATGTTGCTGTGTTTCCTTCTTGCCTTTCAGTGGCTCGGTGGTGACTCTTCAGTTGATTGGTGTGGTGTTCCTGTGATTAATTCTCTCTCAGCCTCTCTCTCGGTTACCTGGGTTTTTGACTCAGATGGGGAAAGTCTATGTGGGGCAAGTCACTTAATAGCAGAAAACATCAACCACTCTCTCTTTCTCCTTTGTGCAAAGTAACATCAAAGTGGCTGGTTAAGATGGCTTTGTATATTTAAGTCAAAATCTACTCTTTTAAACAAGTTTGCAAGCAGATTAACCATAATCATTTTTCAATTTTAATCCAGTGGAAAATGCACTGGACTGGGATCCAATTTTCAGCTCTACCATGTACAGTTTCGAGAGCGACGTTAAACCTCCCATGTTTTAGATTCCCCATCTGTAAAATGGGAATGATGATACTTGGCCCCATTTGTAAAACGGTTGGAGAGCCTCGGAGGAAAAGTGCAAAGGATTGTTTATTTTTTGTTCCATCCACTTCTGTATGGATGTTTAGCACATGAGCTTTAATGCATGTAACTTACTGAGGTTTTATTGACTCTTTGAAATGTCTTCTGCTGGGTCAAGGCCTAGTTAAGTAATTATTCGTACCAAGTTAGACTGGCAACGTGTCAGATTTGTACAGTAGTCCTCAAATGACTAGTGGCCCCAACCAATGGTGTTGATGCTTCATCTCCCAATACTGTAATGAGGATCTCTGCTACCCACCTTCCATTTACTCTTGGACATGTTCTGACCTGCAGCTGAGCTTGGGCTGTTCCTAGTGGTAACGAATACAGCCTGAACCATGGAAAATGTGAACAGTTGAATGGGAGTCTGTCAACACACTTGAGGTCTTGCTCTGGTAAAATGATATCGCTTCCTGAAAAGCTTAGGGAATCCCTGTAATGATAGACCCTGGTGGCTGCAGGGACCTCCAGGAATACTTTAATTATGCTGTATTTACCTTATACCACAGGGAAACTCATAATGAGAGACACATATGAAGGAAGCATGATATACATAGGAAGAGGGTCTGAATACTTACTAGATCATCTTAAATTTTGCTACAAAATGGTTTGACTTTGTATTGGCCTTGCAAAATTATGAAAATTTCATAGATTCCAAGGCCGGAAGGTACAAAAGTGATTATCTAGTCTGGCTTCAATTTACCAGCCTAAGTACAAATTCTACCATATTTGCCTGTCCCCTCCCATGAGGATTCACGGTGGTGAAAATAGGAATACTTTACTTACCGATTTAAAAAAAAAAAAAAAAAAAAACACCTGGGGCATGAATGGGCCACTAGAATTTTGCCAAGGCTGTTTTAAACCCATGTTCAGGGGTAGTGCTTGAGTCTTAACCCCACACCACTGGGCGTGCCAAATAATGATGAAGTAGAACACGTTCAAGCAAGGGAATTGATTCAGGTGTTTGGCTGGAATTCTCCAGGGGAGGAAATTTAAGCCAGATGGTCAATATTGTGCCTTTCATTTTTGTTGATTTTAATAAACTCTGAAGTAAGCTGCAAAGGAAGTCTTGGGAAGCTCTAATATATAACAAATTTTCACCAATGGAGAGAGGCTGACTGGTAGTGAAAGCTGCTGAAAGTCCCAGACAGTTTTGTTTTAGGGTGGAGAAGAAAGTTTCTTCTGTTTGACTCCCAGTATGACCTCTGATAGAAAGCGGTGAGTTTAAGCCCTCTTCTTGTTTAAACAGTAAGAGGCCCTTAGATGCAAACTCTTAACAATTCTCCAGTGTGAGAGGAAGGATGGCTTTCTGTGTTGCATCTGTTCTATCATGGCTGCTGTCTATTTATTTTCTCTTCTCCATCACTGACATTGTAATGTTCAAATAAGTGCTCTTGAGCTAACTAATGAGCTGTGAAAACACTTGCTTCACAGCCAGCTCTCTGCAGCCCTGTCAGGTTGTATCTCCAATAGGCTATTTGAAAGATTTTTCTATCATTCCAGCTCCACCAATGGTAGCAATGGAAGTAGTTTCAGTAGACCACTGGCATTTTTACCACCGTTACCTAACACTGGTCAGAATGGGTATAGAAGACACCATGACACAAATTCTGGCAGCGCCCTGAGTACTAGCCACACTAACTCCCACTTTGGTTACCACCGGTGGCACTGCACTGGTGAGAGATTTCCAAGAAACTCTAATATAGGCAAGGGCTAACCAATTCTTATAGTCTGTCACTTTGGTGTCCCAAAGGCCTGTGGCCGAAGAATTAGTGTTGGTCAAAGTCTTGAAGAAATTTCTTTGTAAATCATTGTAGTTGATGTTTTTGAAAGTTCTGATCCTTCCTGGTTTTGTGAAGGAACAAAGATGTAGCCAAGGAAACTGAATTTCTTTCCTCAGGAATCTGTAGTAAGTTCCAAAGGTAAAATCAGGGAAAAGCTGCCTGGTTTTGTGTCTGAAAATGTGTTCTTCGTGAGTGCTTCAGAGAGAGCAGTTTGCAGTGAGCACCAAAACTTCGCTACTCTTCCTGTGATTTAAGTGTTGTACTTGTAACTGAGATCAGTAATATTAGTTGCTCCCATATTTGTGTCAGTGATTCCTGGAAGAGCAGCACCTGGATGCTAACCCTTTTATTATCCCTTCTTCCTTTCTCCACAGAAATGGCACCAAAATTGAAGAAGAAAGGGCACTCTGGGAGAGAGCAAAAAAAGGTGAGTTTTGGAGAAGCCTCCCTCCTGGAGCCATGAGAGAATTCCTATGAATTAGCATCCTCAGTATACATTGACCGCCGAATCATCAGAGAGGTTGGGCTGGGCCGGGCACACAGGCTGTTAAAACAATACTCTTATTTAGATCTCCCTTTTAGATCAGGAGCTTATAGTCAACCACAGGCTCAGTCCCTCCATTATTGATGTCTGGAATTGTTCTGAGCTGCCTCCCTGCATACCAGATGACACAAGGCTGGAAACTTAAATGAGGTGGTGTTCTGCTGATCTCATGAGTTTTTGTCTTCCCTAGCATCACCACCACCACCATCAGCAGGTGCAGCAGCAGCAGCAGATGCAACCACTGCCTCCACAGCCTGTCCCTCAACAAGCACCGCCTCCGATGAAGTCTTCTCCCCCTCCTTTCGTACCTGCACAGGTCCCCATCATGGAGCATCCGCTCCCAGGGAACATGTTTGACACTATCACACATTTCACCCAGCCCATCATGCATCTTCCTCAGCCAGAGATGCCACCCCATCTCCCCCAGCAACCTGAGCATAGCACTCCTCCTCACTTGAACCAACATGCAGTAGTCTCTCCTCCAGGTAAGCACTTAATGGGCAATGCTGTGTGTCTAAAGCTGTAGCCCTTTCTTCTTCTTGGAGTAGATGCAGCCATGTATTCCATGTAGGTGTGTGTCTTCCCAGCACACCAGAACAGGAGAAATTTGCCCAGCAGTACCTGTAGAGGGGTGGCACTCGCACCTTGTGGTTATAGTCCTGGCTACATGAGGCAGTGCTGTCCTGACCCTTCCTCAGTTCCTTCTTACCACCCATGACTGGAGTCGGAGCTTTGTGTGGTCTCAACCTCTCAGCTAATTTAGTTTTTTCTCTTGTATATAGTTAGTAGTACTCTTAATGTTAGAGTAGTTTGTGTTACCAGTCTGTTTCCTCAGTGATGCTCTCCTGGGGTTTAAACATTGTCTTTCATGTGGGGAAGCGATCCCCGGTAGCAAGGCCCATGTCAAGAAGCATTGCGCAATCTGCCGATCAGTTTTTAAGAAACTGACTCAAGTGGCTCGGGACCTTTGCCTAAAGAAGCGCCTGCTCGAACAGGCCATGCGGCCTGCTTTGGTCCCAAGGCCCTCAGAGCGTCAGAGGTTGCCCTTGGGCTCCAACAGCACTGCCACTTCACATTCTGGAGCAAGTACTTCAATAGGGGCTCTTCCCTGTTGACTGTGACGAGGAGACGGTCTCATAAGACCAATCATAGAATATCAGGGTTGGAAGGGACCTCAGGAGGTCATCTAGTCCAACCCCCTGCTCAAAGCAGGACCTAATGCCCAACTAAATCATCCCAGCCAAGGCTTTGTCAAGCCTGACCTTAAAATCCTCTAAGGAAGGAGATTCCACCACCTCCTTAGGTAACCCGTTCCAGAGCTTCATCACCCTCCTAGTGAAAAAGTTTTTCCTAATATCCAACCTAAGCCTCCCCCACTGTAACTTGAGACCATTACTCCTTGTTCTGTCATCTGGTACCACTGAGAACAGTCTAGATCCATCTCTTTGGAACCCCCTTTCAGGTAGTTGAAAGCAGCTATCAAATCCCTCCTCATTCTTCTCTTCTGCAGACTAAATAATCCCAGCTCTCTCAGCCTCTCCTCATAAATCATGTGCTCCAGCCCCCTAATCATTTTTGTTGCCCTCCGCTGGACTCTTTCCAGTTTTTCCACATCCTCCTTGTAGTGTGGGGCCCAAAACGACATAGTACTCCAGATGAGGCCTCACTAATGCCGAATAGAGGGGAATGATCACGTCCCTCGATCTGGTGGCAGTGCTCCTACTTATACAGCCCAAAATGCTGTTAGCCTTCTTGGCAACAAGGGCACACTGTTGACTCATATACAGCTTCTTATCCACCGTAACACCTAGGTCCTTTTCTGCAGAACTGCTGCCTAGCCACTCTGTCTCTAGTCTGTAGCAGTGCATGGGATTCTTCTTTCCTAAGTGCAGGAATCTGCACTTGTCCTTGTTGAACCTCATCAGATTTCTTTTGGCCCAATCCTCTAATTTGTCTAGGTCCTTCAGTATCCTATCCCTACCCTCCAGCGTATCTACCACTCCTCCCAATTTAGTGTCATCTGAAAACTTGCTGAGGGTGCAATCCACGCCATCTTCCAGATCATTAATGAAGATATTGAACAAAACCGGCCCCAGGACCGACCCTTGGGGCACTCTGCTTGATACCAGCTGCCAACTAGACATGGAGCCATTGATCACTACCCGTTGAGTCCGACGATCTAGCCAGCTTTCTATCCACCTAATAGTCCATTCATCCAGCCCATACTTCTTTAACTTGCTGGCAAGAATACTGTTGGAGACAGTGTCAAAAGCTTTGCTAAAGTCAAGGAATAACACGTTCACTGCTTTCCCCTAATCCACAGAGCCAGTTATCTCTTCATAGAAGGCAATTAGGTTTGTCAGGCATGACTTGCCCTTGGTGAATCCATGCTGACTGTTCCTGATCCCTTTCTTCTCCTTGAAGTGCTTCAAAATTGATTCCTTGAGGACCTGCTCCATGATTTTTCCAGGGACTGAGGTAAGGCTGACTGGCCTGTAGTTCCCTGGATCCTCCTCCTTCCCTTTTTTAAAGATGGGCACTATAGGCACTATATTAGACTTTTTGCAGTCATCCGGGACCTCCCCCGATCGCCATGAGTTTTCAAAGATAATGGCCAATGGCTCTGCAATCACATCTGCCAGTAGGGACTGCTCCAGGTTTTGGGGTGACTCTTCCGCCTCCCCCAGGAAAAGCATGGAACAGCATGGAGTTGGTGCTTCTAACCGTTCCCCGGTACCTAGTAGGGAGGTGAGAAACCCTTTACCGTTGACTTTGGTTCCAGCCTCTGGACATCCATTGAGTCTGGTACTGATGAGGGAGATGCCAGTACCGACTGTTTCTGCGTCGGCAGCATACCAAGTAGCTACAGACCTCCTTCTGCCTTTCAGTCCTGACCTCTCCTTTGGTCCAGGACTTTGCCAAGTCTCTGTCAACTATAGCCCCTTCTATTGAACAAGCTACTGAATCCTTGGGTCTGTTGACACTGCGCCTCAATGTTCCCCTTCCACAAATTGTGGAAATAGGGCTGGTACTCTGATTGGTACGTGGGACCCCGGTACCAGGAACCTCCTCGGCACTGCTGCAGTCGGCACAGCAGATGTTTCCATGGTGGCTTTCACCACTCTTGATGGTGCCATCAGACACTCTGGTACCACTGTTCACTTCGGGACTGACACTGCTTCAAGCACTGGCATGCTTGGTACCAATGGTATTGCTTCCATTGACAGCTCTGTTTCCTGCCTCATTCTGGACAATAGATGAGTCAAACATCTACTTGCTCCCTCTGGTTTCGCTCTGCCCTTATCTCCGGAATCCTGAGGCTCCGTTGAGTCAGGATTGTCATCCTCCCACTCTCCATTGCCCGACCAGCATTGAGGGCCACTGATGGACTGTTACATGTAACCGGATTGGCGCACATCTCATGCTCAGGACTGAGGTCCCTGGCCCTGCACCTGTTGGCCACCAGTACCTTATCCATGTCAGTGGAATCCGTGGGACACTCCTTGGTTGCAGAGGTCCTACTCTTCATCTTGCTCAAAGGCAAGATTGCCGGCCAGTCTGTGGTGATGACCCTCGATCCACTGCAGGCCAAGGCACTGGCAGTCCTCCCTGTGGCGCGTCCAGAGTTGTTCCATCTGGGTCCATCATCCCTGGAACAAGATCCGGCTTTGGCTCAGTTAAGGGCCTCATCTTCATCTCCAGATGATGCTGTGCTGCATGGCTCATCCTCCCCTTCGGTACTGGATTTTAAGGTGTATGTCCTTTAAGCAAGTCCTTTTGCTGTATGAAGCTGCTTTTCTTGGTATCCAAGCAGAGTTTTTTTGTTTTAAGAGAACCCCCCACAAATTGATGGACATTTTACAGCTCTGTGCCCCTGGGAGAGTCACCCTCTCTATAAGCAGTGTGCTCCTTGAACTGGCTAAGGCCCTCTGGAGCACTCTGGCTTTGACACCACCTATAGCCAAGCACATAGAAAAGCACTATTTCATTCCCATGCTGGGATTTGAGGGGATTAACTCCCATCTGGCCCCAAATTCAATAGTTGTAACTGCGGTGAACAACAGAGCCCAGCAGGGCAGGTTTAAGTTCACCCCTAAAGATTAGGGATTCTAAACGATTGGACTTCATGGGCAGGAAGATTTACACCACCTTTTCCTTACAGATGTGAATTGCCAATCAGCAAGCCTTGCTGTCCAAGTACGGTTTTGTTAACTGGACAGCTATGTCAGGAGGAATTTTCTAGTATTTGTCACTGAGGGCTGCTTGGTGGCTAAGATGCCTTTTGTAATCCACACTCGATATCATGAACACCTCGGCCAGGGTGGGTGGCCTATGTGGTCACCATGAGATGGGGTTCCTGGCTTTCTTTGGCTTTCGATGGCTGAACACTGTTCTCAGACAAAGCTGAGGAGACGCTGCGGTCCTTTAAGAATTCCAGGACTACCCTGCAGTCCTTCAGGCTGCAGAGGTGCCACTGTGGCATCCAGCGGCAGCAGTATTGTCTGCAGTGCACATTTGGCCAGCCTTTCCCTCCTCTGAGGCCTGGTCTACATTGGGGGGGATCGGTCTAAGTTACGCAACTTCAGTTACCTGAATAACGTAGCTGAAGTCAACGTACTTACATCTACTTACATTGTCTTCACTGCGGTAGGTCAACTGCTGATGCTCCCCCGTCGACTCCGCCTACGCTTCTCGCTCTGGTGGAGTACCGGAGTCGACGGGAGAGCGCTCGGCGGTCGATTTATCGCATCTTCACGAGACGCGATAAATCGACCCCCGCTGGATCGATCTCTCCGGAGGTAAGTGTAGACATGCCCTGAGGCACAGGATTACACCAGAAAGAGGGATAGATCCCACAGGAGGAAGCTGTTGGGCTTGGGGTTTGGCCAGTCCCCACACCTTTCCCTGGTCCCTTTCCAAGTGCCCATTTGACTCCTTGCTCCAGAGCACTGTCCTAGTCATTGCTCCTTCCTCCTCATCTCCCTCCTTTGGGGACAGGCTGGCCCTCTTTCACAGTGATTGGGGTTCAGTCACTACTGACAGCGGGGTCCTAAGTACCGTCAGATTGGGTTATGCCATCCAGTTCCTCTCTACACCACCTCCCAACCCTCCCTCCCTGTCCCTCTTCAGGGACCCCTCTCATGAGATACTGCTCCTCGAGGAGGTCTACTCTCTGCTGCCTTTGGGAGCAGTGGAGAAGGTTCCACTGGAACACGGGGCATAGCTTCTCCTTTGGATACCAGGAAGTACTGGGAGTAGAAGTAAGGCCTCAACAAATATATCAGGTACATGGGGTTCTGAATGGTCACTCTATAGACTGTCTTCCCTGCGTGCTCTGGAGCTTCAGGACACCTACTTTCACATGGCAATTATTTACTCCTGGGGAATTCTGTGCATCTACGGACATGCAGAATTCATGTGTCCCGCAGAATTTTTTTTCAGCAGAAATTACATTTTTGCCCCAGAAGTGCTGCAGTTCTGCCTT